TTTTTGCTTTGTGACCCACTGGATTTGACCAGGTCCACTTGCATAGGCATGAGTCTGGAACTGTCCACTGGAGCAGGGGTCACTCACCAATGGATACAGCAATTTAATCTTTAGACTTCCTTTTTCCCAGCAGTCCTCAACTGTCATTAGCTCCTGTGGGTAGGGAGGGTCCCATGAGCCCCACCCCATTTAGTTCTGAATGTCTCCAGGATGATTCCTGTACAGGGCCTATCCGATTAAGTCTTATGAGTTCAAGAGTGCCACAGCCATGTCATGCCTCTAAAATAGTTTAACAGCCTTCTTCCCTATGGTCTACCTCTCCTCTCTCTCTCTCTCTCTTTCTTTCTTTCTCTCTCTCTCTCTCTCTCTCTCTCTCTCTCTCTCTCTCTCTGTGTGTGTGTGTGTGTGTGTGTGTGTGTGTTTGTATAGTAGAAACACTGGTCTTTAAAAATGATGTTAAGTTTCCACAGGAATCAAATGAAGAAGCCATAGGTGTTATATGAAGTTTGCTCCTATAATATATGATAGCTGAAAGTAACTATCAGTCAAGCAAATAAGAAGAGTAAATCCCACAGAGAACAAAGTCCCTCACACAGTGTATACCAAATAATCAAGCATCACAGTCAACGGAGTACTAATGAAACACTCCTATGAGAACATTAAGCTTCATGTCAGTTCCTAGATTCAAGCACAAGAATCAATTGCTGTGGTTATTAGCTGCATGTGTCCTTCTAGGTGCCTTTAGGTGCATCATTATAGCATGATCCAGAGTTGTAAAGTCAATTCAGGTTTCCAATAAAGCATGAGCCACACAGCTGTAAACTATTCAGATACATGAGCTCTTCGGCATTCAGGTCAGGAATTCTCCATCAATGCTGAGGCACTTGAGTAAAGCTCACGTATGAGAAAACAGCAGTGTCTATTATAGCTACTTGAAAGCAAGCTTTCTTGAAATTATAACTAGAGTCTTAAAATACACACACTGACACACACACACACCCCACCTTTTAGCTGCTGATTCAACTTGTTAAAGAAACTGTTTAAGCTAGGTCTCATCAATATTGACTTTACTGTTTTTTCTCAAACTCTGTCATTTTGTACTAAATAAAATCTCTAATGGAATTATTTAATTAATAATCAGGTAAAAATGCATTCATATGTCTCACCTAATAAACTGTTTGCTGCACTCATATCCTGATCATTTTCCTGAGTAGTTCAGTCCTTTGTGAAGTGTTCTTGGAGCCAGAATGTCTATTACTATCACTCTATAATTACTAGAATATGAAAAATTCAGTTGTTTTCCCTTCAAATGTACATATAATCTATTCTATTTTGTTGAAAAAAGATAAAAAAAAAAAAAACAGCCAAATGAGATGACTTAGATTAACTAATACGTGAGCCCCTGCAGTTCTAAAGCAACACACAACACAGGTTCTCAAGTCCCAGCTAATCAAACCCCATAATGCATGTGGCCACAGGAGCTGTTCTTTGTGAGAAAACAAGGCTTCCTCTAGCCATGGCAGACCCATGCCTCCCAGCAGGAGCTTCGCAAAGCCCAGCAGCATCCTGAGCCAAGAGCCTACCTTAATGAGAATCTGAATAGACCCTGTGGCTTTCGCAGATATAAAATACCAGAAGCTCATGGTGCAGGCAGCGCTGGACTCTCGCCACATGGTGCTCTTGAGGTGGGCTTTGTCGCCGCGAAGGCCCACAGGAGTAGCCTCCAAATACAAGAAGTGACCTAGGAATAAGGGCCGGAATTCAGATAGGACTGAAAGAACATGGAGAGGATTATTCTAGCTTCTTTATAAATCTTAGTTCAGATTTATTACATTTCATATGATGTAGTTGCCAAAGGCATTTTCATTTGAAATGGAGAACAAACCTAATGGCCCTGTCTCTAGCTCGCTGACAGAACAATTCCCAACTGTCTGTGCTTTTAACAAAGTGTGTTACAGCATGAAGGCTAACTGATCTGACAGGATATTTATTCCATCAAATCAACAAAGCAGTCATAGGAAATATTTAATGGAGTCCATAAATGACCTGGTTATTATAAAAGGGAGAAAAGATCACTAATGAAACCAACATAAGGGACGATCCAGTCGCCTGTTGAATATGTAAATGAGATCCTAGGAGTTTCAACATGAAACATGAAAGTAATTAATTTCTATTCTTGTATATAAAAATACATAAAGCATATCATGTATGTACAGGTGAATGTGATTTACACTGTTGATTTCCTGGCTGGATGAGCCTAGCTTATTCAGATTTGTTCTATGAGCCTATGAAATATCAGTGCTCTCCGGGAGTTCAGGGTCCCTTCTTTATGCTGTTACTGTCCTTTGCTGGATGAGTACTGAGCCTGAGACTCGATTGCTGGTACTTCTTACAAAACTAATCTGTGCCCAACACTTAGCAAATGTGGTCTGACAGCTACGTCGTCACAGCTTCTCAACAGGTTTTAACTCTTTTGCCATCATGTGCCTCACGCTGTTTGATTCACAACTTCAGTTAGGCACACAAGGCACACTTTGCTATCTCCATTTTACAAACAATGAATCTGAGATTCTGAAAAGTTAAGTAATTTGTTAAAGATCAAGTGTGTGTCCTAATTCCGAGAAACTGTGATTAATATAAGATTTGTATCTTCCTACCTCCCAGCCCCAGTTTAATCCCCAGTATTTACAGACCTGACCTTTGGAAATAAAGGCTCTGTTGAAGATCAAGTGAAGATAATGCTATTAAGGTGGACCTTAGCCAATATGCCTAGAGATTAATAAGAAGAAAGCATGTCGACACAGAAAATGGTGTCTAGAGAGAAGTTGGTGTGAAGACTCAAGACAAACCATCACCTACAAGTCAGGAATATTTGAGGCCTCCAGCACCCAGCAAAGAGGTATGGGAGAGATGCCTCCTCCTCACAGCCCCCAGAAGAAAGCAGTCTGCCACCAGCTTGGTCTTGGACTTCCGACTTCCACAGCTATGAGAAGGCGCTGTCTGCTGTTCCAGCTACCTGCTCTGTGGTGCATAGCTACAGCTGCCTGAGGAAAAGATCACATAGGCTAACTCTTTGGCTGAACTGCACTACCCAGTTGTACTTGAAGATAATGAGACAGACTTTGTGAATATGTGCAGAGTAAGAGCAACAACCCGGCTACTTACCACTTTCATTTCCAAGTGTGTGGTCTTTGGGAGGCCGTTGGCTTTGATGAGAGCCAATTCCCAAAACCCAATCAAAGTTTTCAGCAAGGGAGTTTTTCCAGCCACACCATCCTCTCTCAAAAGTACAGGAGCCACCACATTCCTTTTCATCAGTGTTATCTCCACAGTCATCCGCAAAATCACAGCTTTGCTCTGGACTATAACATCTGCCATTCTGACATTCCCAATAACCATGTGGGCAAAACTCTGGAACAAATCAAAAAGAAAAACAGGGTGGTAGACTATTCCCTACCCATAAAGAGCAGCCAAGAGAATGGATCAACTGTGAAGAGCAAAGGATCACAGCATTCTTACAATTTGAAGAATCTGACTCCTATTTTTGCCTCTTGTCTGATACTGAGTTCTGGCTTTAGATTACTCACAGGGACCATTCACAAGTGTGTGTGTGTGTGTGTGTGTGTGTGTGTGTGAGAGAGAGAGAGAGAGAGAGAGAGAGAGAGAGAGAGAGAAATTTATTTAACTACCACAGGACTCCAAAAGTTGTAATTAAGAATATAAATAATACCTAAGGATCAAAGCAAGTCCTCTCATTTTTTACACTGAAACAAAATCTTTAAGATACTTAGAGCACATGCATTATGGGGTATTTGGTAGTATATTCTGGCACCAATTTACTTCAATATTTAACAGAAGGAAACATATATAAGATGCCTTTCAGCTGCAGGGTCATGCATATACAACAAATATACATCTTTCTAACAATTTTCCCTAATATGTATTTATTTGTCAGTTATTTGGTATCTTACAATTTCCTTTGTGAGCAATGTCAGCTGTTCACAGAAGATGCAAGACAGCAATATTTTACAGACCTGCATTTGAAATCTACTTTTGATACATATCAGCTATATGACCTGTCTCATGCCAACACTTGTTAAGCTTCAGAGTCCTTGTCCAAACATTTGGGTTTCACATCTGATACAGCCTTGGAGCTCCATTTGGCAAAGGGTCGAGCCATACAACCACCCACATGAATACAGGAAACCTTATCCTGGTTTACCCCCTAAACACCATTAAATCCCCAAGCCAGTCTCCTTTCCTTCTTCTCTCATTTCTTGGCATGATTTAGAGTCACATTCTTCTCCCACAAAGCTCCGGTATGTGAGTAATACAACTTTTCAAGGGTTGTTAGTGTATATGTGGTGTCATCAGTGTCAATATCTAACCACATTCAGGATGAGACCAACTCATCTGTAAATGACCACGAAGCTCTGGGAGATGTAGTTTTCATACAAATAAATTTTAATCTCATCAATCACAAAATCTTGTAACGAATTCTGACAATTGTCATCCAATTAGAATATATCTCATCACATCTTCTGTCACAGTGTGGATTTTACTGTCATAATTTCCTGTCTGACCTCTGTGCCTCCAACATTACCCCAAGATGTAATAATCAAAAACAAAACAAAACAAAACACGTTTTTGTGCCAATATAATTTCAAGTTCATATCTGAACTAATCCTTAGAATATTTCCATAGCAGTTTCTATTATAGGAAACCAAGTCTTAAAACACATCTTATGAGGGGCCAGGGAAAAGGCAGCTGACAGTGAGTCTCAGATTTAGGCATGTGCCAGAAATTTTAAAAGTTATATTGAAAATGGTGGTAATATGGGGAAGTGTTTAAAGAGGTTATAATGTTATGGTAATAAAATGTGGTATAGACTTAAGGACTTTTAAGTCAATTTTCTGCACCACAAGAGAATTTGGCTATCAGAGTATCTAATGAGGAAAGTTCTGCTCCCAGCTCTGAAAGATAAAGAAGATATGGAATTATCCTCAATCATAAACAGCCAGAGCCCTTGGCAAATATATTAGACAGTTGTTATCAAACACAATGGGAAGTCTTGGACAGTGACCCCATAGGAAAAGGACAAGAGTTGCATCCTACTATCACCCACATTTCTATTCTGTGGCAGTATCTAGGTTGTGCTCCAACAGCATATAAGTCAAGCAGAAACCTGAGTCTGTGCGAGTGGAAGCTACAGAGGCTGGGACAGTCCAAATTTATAAGGCAGAGAAATGGAGAAAAGGGCTATGTAGATAAAGAGATCCAGAAATAAGGTCAAGTGTTCAGCTGAAATCTAATTTGTATATAGATAGGGCAGAATTCATACAGAAAAAGAGAAAACTTCTAAGAGAGCAATAACTAGGAACTGTCAGGAGAAACATTTTAAGTGTTCACGGGGATCCAGGCATCTTTGGGTTTCTACTGCCTACAGTAGAGTTTTGACAAATACAGAGGGGGTCAATAGAAACTCAAGTCAGAGGTGCTTTAGTAGAAGACAAAGTCACTTTAGAAAGAAGTATTCTTTACATAAAAAAATAAGCAAACTATAACCCCAAGTTCAAATCCACCTGTAGCAGTAAATAAAGTTTTATTGAGACAGACACACACATTTGTTCACATATTACAGTATAGTTATTTTTATACTATAGTGGCTGAGTCTAATGGTTGTAACCAGGAATACTTCTATCATAAACAGACTTTAAATAAAAATACTTAGTTTCTGGAAATTCACAGAATATAGTTCCCTAAACTCTGTACTATATTTGCCCCCCCCAAACTTCAAAACAGTCTTCAAATGAGCAAGTCAGAACAGTAAGCAAGTTAACTGCTAACTCTTAACAATATTTCCATAGTTCTCTCTATTCAAACTTAGCCAAGGAACTCTTGGCAGCTGACTACTACTGGGTGAGGTAGAGTTGATATTCTTTAAGGGAGAGACTTTAGATGGGCTGACTAGACTCCAGTGGATGAACTTATACAAAAGCTTTGACTCGATAGGCCTTAACATATATAACAGAATGCATGACATCCAGTGGGGGGGTATGGGTGTATGTGGAGGGGGTCTAAAGGTGATTAAGATTCATTGTATGAAACACACAAAAATTAAATTAAAATGTACATCAAAAAAGAGAAATATGCTAAATTTGGCACTCAGCAGCCTAGAATTCACAGCCTATGAAGAACTAGGAAAATGTGATCTATAAATAGCTAGGAGAAAAATCATTCCAGATTTACGTCAGGGAGCTGGAGGGAGGCAAGCTGGGAAATGTTGGTTAAAGGATAAAACATTTCAGATTGATGATATGAATTCAAGAAACCTATGGTTCTATGGTCAACATAGTTACATAGTTAAATGTACCTTTAGAAATAGATGGGAAATTTCAAGTATTCTCAGGATAAAAAAATCATATATATAAATA